TTTTTTTTATATATATATTTTTTTTTTTTTTTTTTTTTTTTTTTTTTTTTTCCAATTTCCCCTTTTTTTTTTTTTTAAACAGTATTTTTATTCATCACTTTATTTTAATACTGTTTATTTTTATTATTGTTACTTGATATATTGTGTATTTCTTTTTTCTTGTCATTACTCAGTTAATGCTTTAGCAATACTGTGTGAATGGACACTGACAGCAATGGAAACGTTTCTGAATGCAGAAAAAGTCCTGTAAAGATGGTTTTTGAAAACTCTTTGTGTTTCCACGCTCTCTCTCGCGCTCTCTCTCTCGCTCTCTCTCTCTCTCTTTCTCTCTCTCGCTCTCGCTCTCTCTCGCTCTCTCTCTCTCTCGCTCTCGCTCTCTCTCTCGCTCTCTCTCTCTCTCTTTCTCTCTCTCGCTCTCGCTCTCTCTCGCTCTCTTCCGCTCATTTAATCAGTCTTTCATCATTGCATTCCCAGTGTGCCTCAGCACCTTCTCTCCATTAGTGACAGTGATTGTTGACGCACATTCATCTACAGAGATGCTGAATTTAGCTTTGCAAAGGACTTAAACGTGCGGCTCAGAGTTATACTTGCATCTTTCAATATACATTTGGGGTGAATCTCACGAAACCGGTCAAGAACATGTCCAACGAAAATTAACCCTTTTTGTACCGTGAATGGTTTTTTTTTTTCTCCTTCCCTTGCTTTTTTGCATTTTCACCCTATTCTCATAACCGTAATGCACCTCAGAATTTTTTTTTTTTTTTTTTGCATTTTCCTTCAGTTCTTATTACCCCAGTGCAACTCAGAATTTATTTTGTCTTATTTTTTTGTCTTTTCTTGTATTTTCCCCTCAATTCCTCATTACCCCAATGCACCTATTTTATTTTTGTATTCACCAATTGTCATTACCCTAATGCACAACAGATTTTTTTGGGGGCATTTTCCTTAAATTATCATTACCGTAATGCACCTGATTTATTTATTTATTTTATTTCCCTCAATTTTCATTATCCTGATGCACCTGGGATTTTTTCTTTTTTTTCCCCTAGTTCTCATTACCATAATACACCTGATATGTTTACGTTTTTTATTTTGTTTGTGTTGTTGGTAATTTGTTTTAAATTGTCCAGGCAATACACCTGACATCTGGTGTGTAATTAATTATCGTCGTGAATGAATCTCAATGGTCTTAAATTAAGCTTGATTTTCTTTACGCCAGACTATGTTCTTGACAGGGTTTTGTGAGGTTTTGAAAGGGTTTGCGCTCTCAATGACTCAAACACTTCAAGGAACTGTTGAAACTACAGGCTCTGTCCGGGAACTACAAGTACGCATGTGATCGAGCATATAATCTGAACTGTAAATGGCAAGACTGCTTTACAACACAAATACCTGCCTATATTATTAAAGGTACATATGCTGTTCAGGTCTGTAACTGAGGTAAGCCATGTACAGAAACGAGCTACAGTAATATAAAGAGCGCTGAACTGTATCCATTTCTGAGTGGTTTACGATGCGGAAAAACGTTTGCTACAAAAAAAGCGGAGCGGAGCGGTGCTAAAGTTATGGTCTTGATTGCCAAAATGAATACTTTTAGGTTGCCAGCTTCATTTCTTAATGGCACTGCTGCAGTCAACAAAGCTCTGCTTTACAACACAAATACCTGCCTATATTATTAAAGGTACATATGCTGTTCAGGTCTGTAACTGAGGTAAGCCATGTACAGAAACGAGCTACAGTAATATAAAGAGCGCTGAACTGTATCCATTTCTGAGTGGTTTACGATGCGGAAAAACGTTTGCTACAAAAAAAGCGGAGCGGTGCTAAAGTTATGGTCTTGATTGCCAAAATGAATACTTTTAGGTTGCCAGCTTCATTTCTTAATGGCACTGCTGCAGTCAACAAAGCTGTATTGCTTATGAGGGATGATTTTGCACCCAAAACTCTAGTGCATGAAAATCTCCTTTGGATTTACAAATCGCTTTAGGTTTTTTTTTTTTTTCATATTTTACCCCCTCCCTCCCAAAGAGAAAAGGCTATTTTCATTTTGATTTGATTTTTAAATCACCTTTTCTGTGTCTATAAAGATAATACTGTTTTGCAATTGAAATATAAATTGTATGCTCTTTATAGGATTTCCTGATCTTTCGGATGTAACTTTTCTGGTGAACCATTTAACTGCGTTGCGAGTTCTGTAATGTACAGCCGTCATTACAAACACACTTGATGCTACCATAGATGTACTTCTTTGAAAAGATCAGCATTTCAGCACTATAATAGGTTTTTGTGTGTGCGCGTGTGTGTGTGTGTTATTATTTTATTTTTTTGATATGGTCAACTGCTGCTATCAAAGATAGTCCCTTCATTTTTTTTCTTGCCGTCTCTTTGGAGAAGAGTAGGAGAAGTCTGTGAAAAGACATCCGCACAAAAAGCTGAACGCAGTGAAATATGTGTTGTACATTTACTTGATATTTATTACAATTATTTATGACTGCGTTAACTTTATCCAGTCTTACCTCTGCGCATCTGGAACAAAACACTGGTGTGTGAATGAATCTACAGAGGTGTTGAAGTTCAGGAGTTTCTGTGTCTCAAAAATAAAACATTGATGTATTACAGAACCGTGTCTTTCTCCGTCTCGTGCGCATAGCATTCCTGTTTAATACTTTGATTTGAATCGGCCTGTTTTTTTTACTAGTCTAAATTCAGGGAAAACCAAAGAAAGAAAACATGTTTTGTATGGGTACCAGCTCATGTTGGGGTAGAAGGGAATAAAGAAGCAGATATTTTAGATAAGAAGACTTAAGAAAAACAGAAATAGGACTCCCCTTCTTTATATTGCACTCCTCATTGATGTGATATGATTTCATATGTGTAGATGATAAACTGCCAGCACCAGTCTGTTTGTTGAATTTAATGTCCATGTGAAGGGTCAATCCTTCAGTTCGGTGTCAGTTCTTAGGAGGAAAAACTAAATATTGGTTAAGTTAAAATGTGGATTTTTTTTGGGGAGGTTGAGTTCAAGAAATGATTGCGGTTGTACAGAATTAATATAGACAGATTTCATATGTCAGTGTAATTTGAGTAAACAGTCCCTGTAACCTTGTGCAGGTTGTTTGGTTCCTGCAGTGACGCGCTTCCGGTGCTCGAGCAGCATCATTTATCCAAGGGAAACACATCTTGTAGTGTGCATGTGTTTTGGGTCCCTTTTGTGATCCCTAGATGTATAGCATATGCTTTTTCAGCATTTGCAGGTACATTAGAAAATGATGGATCAAATGTGCCAACAGCACTGTAGCCTATTTCTGCCAAAATGATTCTTTGTGATAGGACAATATATATATATATATATATATATATATATATATATAGGCTATTTATTATCTGGGTTCAAGCTCTTTAAGGCATTTAAGCACATATGAAAAAAAGACATTACGTATTATTTAGCAAGCCTGTTACCACCTAATTCAATGATTTAAAAAAGCATTTTTTTTTAGCAAATCCAGGTCATTTACCATATAAAAAATTAGGACTTTTAACGTTTATGTGGTCCAATCTCCATTAAACTTTGCATGCTTGTTCAGAATCACCCGTCACATTTGCTTACCTAGTTTTGAGTTTTCGTTTAGGCTTTATAGGGTTTTGGGTAAATATGGACACGCCCCTTTTGTAAACGACCACATAGCTTCCCAAAGGGAAAAGTTCAACTTTTTTTATTTTTATAATTATTGATTTAGGGAGTCCAGAGAATTGTACTGCAGTGTTTTTTTTGTTTTTTTTTCGAGATTGAGTGAAAAACCTAGGACTAGTTCACAAAAGAAGTTTTTTTTTTAAATATCTTAATATCTTATATTTTAACATTTTTGAGATTTTTTTATATCTCAATTATTTAACAAACGATTTGATTGACAGCAGTGGTTTGTAGAGTTGTTCGGAATGAAGAGGTCTATCAGATGATATAAATATTGTGTGTGTGTGTGAAAATAAAAATAAAAAAACATTGTATGTTTGTACTTTCTGTACTGGAAGCTCCTGACACCAAGACGAATGCCTTTTGTGTGTAAATAAACACTCTTGGCAATAAAGCGCTTTCTGATTCTGAATAAAAAAACCTGCAATATACAGTTGTTTACGCCCTTGAAAAATGCGATATTGCCCTCTAGTGGCCGATATCTTTAAAATTAGTCACAGAGCTTTAGGGCCATGAGTCAAAGAGGCCCACTGAGTTTCGCTCCGATTGACCGCCGTTAACCTTGTCTAACAGGTGCTCAAACATCATTGCTCAATGGCGGCCATGTTTTTTGGGATACACAAATGTCCTTATGGACACCTGTGGCACTTTGGACAAAGACACTACATAGCAATTTTCATGTTGATCGGACAAATGGTTGCGTAGTTATAGCCGTTTTAATGTATTTATAGCGCCACCAAGTGGCCAAGCTCCATGATTTCTTTTCAGATTGAGCTCTTACATGAGTGTTCCGAGTTGGGTGAAAATATCTCATTCCGTTGAAAAGTTATAGCCAGTTTAGTAAAAGTGGCCCCGCCCCTTTCGAACGTTTTGTCCTCCCTTTGCGATGGTGTCGAAAGTTCAACTTTTTTTGATAATTATTGATATTCACTTTCCAGAGAATCTTTCTGCACTGGTTTGGTTCGCAAAAGTAGGTTTTTCAAAACAAAAAAAATTCCGAATGCGTTTTGTCCAAGGATTCCAACGACTTAAGGCCCTTGAGCCTGTGACTGACGGTTTCGGAGTTATGAGCGTTTTCGTAAGTTTGATCGCTGTAGCGCCCCCGTCAGGCCGATTGGGACGAGACTTGGTGACGTGGTAGACCGTGTGAGTATTACCATCCCTCCAAGTTTCAAGTCTCTA